TACTTTATAGGGTTCTGTTTGTTTTATTCATGATTAAATACAGCAAAATAAACAGTTTCAAAGGTAACAGATGTTTGTAACACTTGGTTTATTAATAATGATTTAACTGCTGGATGTTCGGCCCCTCAGTAACTGTGGTTGGACAGCCCTGATCTAAACGCTGCCACAGATGTTTAACGGTGTTTAGTTTTAGACAGGCGACACAGATCAGCTGTAATTTGTTCAGATTAGCAGATTGAACCGGTCTCTTTCCCCTCCTGCAGTTCCAGTCCTTCAGTCAGTACCGCTGCAAGACGGCCAAAAAGTCTGAGGAGGAAATCGAGTTCCTGAGGAACAACCCAAAGATCTGGAACGTCCACAGCGTCCTCAACGTCCTCCACTCCCTCGTGGACAAGAGCAACATCAACCGGCAGCTGGAGGTCTACACCAGTGGAGGTGAGTCTGTTTGACTCGGTTCTGTTTCCCTGTAAACTCCTCCTCAACCCGTTTCTGTGGTCTCGGCTGCAGGAGACCCAGAGAGCGTGGCTGGAGAGTACGGTCGTCACTCCCTGTACAAGATGCTGGGTTACTTCAGCTTGGTGGGGCTCCTGAGGCTCCACTCCCTGTTGGGGGATTATTACCAGGCCATCAAAGTCCTGGAGAACATCGAGCTCAACAAGAAGGTAAAACTAACTGTAAACTGGTTTTAACTGGGCCAATGTGTCGACTCGTTTTCCATCAAACATCATGAGACAGTTCCTTCATCTTTACGACAAAATAAAGTTTTAAGTTAAAATAGAGAAAATAGATTTAAATCTTCAAGCTTCATGGATAAAAAAAACAGATTATATGAACTCATTTTATTGGATGCAGCTAAAACCAAAAAATACAAACTTTGTTCAAATTAGTTGAGAAATGAAGAAGTTAGGTAATTTTTATTGGGGAAAAAAAGAAACAACCTGATGAGATTATACTTTAGATTTTTTGTTTTTAATACGGCTGTCAAATGATTAATATTTTTAATCTGATTAATCCCAAAGTAGCTGTGAATTAATCATGATTAAT